GAAGACATGAGAGCAAGTAAATAATTTATAAAATGAATCTCAGTTCTATTTTTAAAAAGCAACAAATTTAAAGATTTCAACTTAATTTTAATTTTATAATTAAAAATTCGAATATGATAGAGATTGAAAGAATGTATTAGCTTAATAGTAATTTTTCCTGATAAACTATTTATTTAATTCTTAGTCATGATCAAAATATTTTATTTGAATCATTAACAATATCATTTAATCATTTTATTTGATGTCATATAATCAAAGATATCTAAGCATATGAAAATATTTCAATAAACCTTGAATATAGTTATATTTTAATAGAATTCATATCCATTTATAGTTTCTTAAGTAATATTATAAATTAAATTATATTATGATTAATTATTGAATTCAACTACAATTAATAGTCTTCTTTACTTTTACTAATTTTTTAATTACCTAAAATCCATCTATTGTGCACCTATGATTTGTTTTTTCATAAATTCAAATTAAATTAATTGATTTTTTGTTATACAAAAAATAAAATTCAATTTTTATATAAGGTCAAGTCTTCAGCCTGAAATCTTTAAATTAAAACTTAATTAAATTCATAAGAGTATTCAATAATATGTTAAACGGGATTTATATAACAGTATGGATATTAAAGTATTTAATTATCCATAGAGTTAATTAATTTTTTGTTGAGTTAACTCTTTTAGGAGAATTTTTATATAATATGATAATACCTTTAAACTAGACTAAAAAGCAAAATGAAATATGTATTCATTCATCAGATAAGTTTATTAACTCTTTAATGTATTACTTTTTGATACAAAATATCATTAAGGATTTATTTTTAATATGTTTTCTTTACTTTTCTATTCAAGTTCTATTCAATAATATATTTTTTTGCTTTTTAAAATGCTAAGTAAATATGTTATATTGTTAATTAATGTTGTTTTAATTAAAAAAATGATTAAGTTCATGTTCAAATTAATATTAGAGCATGTTAAAGAATGTAGAATATCTAAATTTTTTTATTTAAACATAATAAATAATATATTATTTAAAATGAATAAAAGTCTTATCAATTTATAATAATTTAATTAATTAATATATTTAATAGAAAATGGAATAACAAGATATGAAAATGTGTTCAAAACATAAATTAGAAATAATTTTGGTGGACCTTGATTCAAAGGTTGCTTAAGAAGACAGATGTTTATGTGTAAGGTGTATTATTGAAAGAATGAATATGAAGAAAATGAATTTAATTGATGAAACAAAGAATATGATTAAAGAAATGAAAATGAATGAATAAAATCAAAGAATTTTAGATAATAAAAAGAGATTAGACAATTTCAATGGAATTGAATCATTATTAAGAGAACTTAAATAAAACATAGATTCTATATTTGATAAGTTATTTAATAATATTTAATATAAATTGAATTAGATATCAAAAGATATAGGAAATATTGAATCATAATCAATTATATTCAATTTTGAAGATGACATTGAAAGATTGTCATAATATTAAGAATATTAAAATAATGAATAATAAATAAAACTAATTGAAGAAGATCATAAGTTTATTGTATAAATTCAAAAATAATTGGAATCTTTCATAAATTCAGAATAATATAATAAATTAATGAGTCATATAATTAATAATGAAAAAAGAGAATAGGATTAAGAAAATAATGAATAACATTATGAAATCATAAAACCATAAGATTATGTATATTATTATAAATTATAATAAAATAGAAAACACCTGCATTGAAAATTATTTGTGAAGAACATACAAAAGAAATTATAATGTTTAATTTGAATGCGAATTCCAATTTATAACCAAGGATGGCTTGTGTTAAATGTATTTAATAATATCCTGCATAATATACTCCTTTAGAAGATGTCTCTGTTTAATGGGAATCATATTAAAAGAGAATTTAAACTAGTGTAAATGATTTCCAATAAACAAGGAATTCTATTTAATAGAAAATACTAAAAATGATCTAAGATATTAAATAGTAAAATGAACAAATATTTGATGATATAATATAAGCACTTAACAATTAACAATAATCAATAGTTCAGATGAATTAGAATTAAATTAATACTAAATCCTTATTTTATTAGACTTAAAATTAATTAAATGAAATAATCAATTAATTAAGTTAAATTGACAAATTTAAAACATGCAAAGATCATAAAATTAATATTGAAAAGATTGATAAAATATTCTATTCAGATTTAAGATCTAAATTTGAATATTTAATTCAATATTAATAAATAAATGTTTAAAGATTTAACTAAATAATTATAAATGATAATAATGTAATGAATTAAATTGATAATTTATTATAATCAACTTAAAATAAAGATCAAGATAATACATAAGAATCTACTAATTTAAATGAAATAATAGAATAAATTAGATAATTTATGTATAAAACATTTAATTTTGAATTCTCATAAAAAGTATTTATTGAAACTATTGATTAATATGTAAAAATCAAAGAGGATATGTAGAATATAAAATAGATTTTAAGCAATAGAATAGAAAACTGTTAAGAATTTCAAAGTATATTCAATGAATTCAATAATTATTCAGATAAATTCAATTAAGATTACAATTAATTTTAATAATTTTTAGATATCAATTAAAAATTGAATGAAATTAAGTTATTAAGTGAATAAATTCATAATATCCAAAAAGAAAAATAAGAATAATAAACAGTATTCGAGAATGAATTAAAAAAAATAAAAGAAGCAAATGAATAAATGAAAAAAGAAAACTTAGAATAAAAGACTTTATTAGAAAAATAAATCAAAGGAAATAATTCAGATATAAAGTAATTAAAAGAATAAATTGATTCAATTAAAAAAGAAAATCTAAATTTAGAATAGAATTTGAATTATTTTGCTCCTAATTATAAGATATTTTTAAAAATAGTAGTATTTCATCAATATTATTATTATAGTCATCATAATATTAGAAGTAATTAACTTTTTCATAAAATAATAAACATTCCAGTTGTGAAGTAACATAAAATGGAAAGATGGTTTAAAATGGTGGTTATTGTCTATGTGATTAAGCTATTCCTAAAAATGGTGTAACATCATTTGCATTCAAAATCATATAATTAAGTAATTATTGTTATATTGGTATTGGGATGAGAGAAATAATATAAAAAAATAATTATGGTGGAAATACTGGTATTGGCTATGGGTATTAAGTTATATTATGCTATTAGATCCTATACAATAAGTTTAAATAAATCTTATTATTCACATCATGAACAAGATAAAAATGGTACATAATTACCATTTGATTTCACAATTAATGATATCATAATTGTAGAAGTTGACATCTAAAATAAAAACGTAAAATGGACCAAAGCCAATACAAATCAATCATTCGTAATTATTCTAATACTATTCCACAATAGACTCTTTAAATAGATACAACATATGATTTATATCCATGTTTATGGGTGTGTTATGCTTATGGAAGTGGTAATAAAGTACAAATATTAGAATGATCTTTAAGATATTATTACAATCATTTAGAAAACAGAATATATTCAAAAATAAAATTTATTATCAAATGAATGAATGAATCTCAC